GGGTCCCGTTCCCGGCCAAGGCCTCTGCACCCGCGACGGCCACGCCGTCGATAAAGACGACGTTATCCTCGAGCACGGAGTTTGATTCCTTGATGTATCTGAATCGGGCTCTCCAGACCCAGTAGATGCCCGGAAAGAGGATGGTGGCGCCCACGATCAGGCACGACCAGTTCATGTAGTCGATGGTGGCGATCGTGACGGGCACGTACAGCGGGCTAAGGTACATGGTGATGATGATCAGTGACCAGCACACCGAGATGATGTTGATCGGGTATCCCCATTTGCCCAGGTCGAAGTGTGGGCGCGGTGGGAGGATTTTGCGGCCTCGTAGGAGGACCTACATAGGATGTGTGTGAGTATGGGTGGAGTGTGTATATGAGTGTAGGGAGGGAGGGAGGAAGAGAAGCGCCATCAGACGTACCACGATAACGGGCGTCACATAGCCAATTTGCAAAGTCACGCCTCCACCAGAAATGATCGATTCAAAAGCCAGGTCACTCCCGAGCACAATGAGACCTATGTAGCCGGAGCATACCAAGACGCACCTGGTCAGCATCATCGTATCCACACACATTCACACACCTCCAGGCCACAGGGGTAGAAGATCGAGGCGATTAGTACCGCCGCGAAAAGGAGCAGGAGGGAAACATACCAATCACCAAATCCACGACCAAAATGGCAATCATGGCCCTCAGCGGGATGTGGAACCTCTCACTCACATGGGCGAAGTAGTCGGAATACGGAAACGCCTTGTCCCGGGCCATGCTCCACGCGAGGCGAGAACCCGCGTTGTTGGTGCCGACTATGATGAAAAAGTTGAGCCCGATCATGATCAGCGCGCAGAAGATGCCGCCGCCGTACACGCTGTTGCAGATGTCCATCCACCAGTTCATGTACGGCTGGGACGCTGTGGCGGTAAAGAAAAATATCAGTTTTGAGTCGGTGCGCGCAGGACGGAGAGGAATAAGAAGAGCCAAAAGAGACTCGTACCGAGCATGTACTCTTCCCAATTGCCGGCGGTCCAAAGCATCAGGAGGGCGGCGAGCCAGCTGGTGACGCTGCAGAAGATCATCGACCAGACCATCACGCGCTAGACCGTGTCAGCAATTGCGTCGACAGAGGGCATCATGGAGAGGACAGAGACTCACAGGGGCGTCTTTTGAGGCATTCCGCATCTCTTCGACCTGTGTATTCCCGTATCAGCATATCACAAAATTCCTCTCCGGGCTGGTCAACACATACAAGATGCATCATGCCATCAGTGCCATAAAGACCATACATGGGCGAATAGAAGGACATGATAAAGACCCAGCCGGCGCTCGTGTAGCCGGAGTTGTTGATGAACTTTGTGAAAATGAACTTGGCATCATGTTTCGGCGCCATAACGGCAAAGACGATGGCCCACGCCACACCACCCGCGATTGTCCAGATAGCGCCCAACATGTTCATTCCCGGAAGCCATCTGCGAGGTTGATATTGTCAGCAAAGGCGTGATTCCGCTAAAGGGACATATGTAGCAAGGGGAGACGGCACGTACGATTGCTTCAAGTTCATGACAATCGGACCGATCAGAAAGGCCGTATAGATAATCCATGTCATCCAGGGCTAGCCGGTGGCTTGTCAGCCTCCATTCTTTCTGGTCAGGATGATACTGACTGACCTTCCAAGCAAAATCCGGGTGGGTGACCTCGACAAACGACGCAATGATCTGAGCACTGTTGATGGCGCAGCTCGATCCGGTGCTGATTTCGCCGACAATAACGGCCCAGCCCACAAGATATGACAAGATGGGCCGAAGCTTGCCCGTTGCCACGGCCTGGACGTAGTATTGCTGACCGCCTGCCGTAGGCCATATGGTGCAGTATTCAGCCAGAGACATCATCAACAGGGTCTGGCCCACGGCGACGAAGAGACTGAAATGTCAACTGTCAAAAGAATCCACATGCCTCAAAAGAAGATTTCAATGCCACTCACGTGCCCCAGATCAGAGCAAAAGGGCCACCAACATCAAAGATGGTCGAGTAGAGGACCACCAGACATGACCAGCTGCACGATATCATGATCTGGTATGCGCACACTGGAGACGTATGGTAAGCAAACATGGCTCCCACGGACCCGTGCAGCACGGCACTTACACGTCCAGAAATTGTAGACGCGTCGCAATTCGGGCTTCTTGCCCATGGACATCAGCAGGGCATCATCGCTGCCGACAGATTTGGCATCCTCCAAAGTGGCCGTCGCGTCCAGCTCCTCCGCCACATAATCAATCGTCTGGTCTTTCATGTTGTTGAGCTGTCGGCGAGAGGAAGAAAACCACCACTTTCTCGAGCAGAGACAGAGACTGGTCACTGAGGCTGCTGCAGACAGGACTCGCCGTCGAGAAGCCACAGATTAAGAAGGACGCATTTTGAAGTCGGAGAGGAGGAGGAGTCGATGTTAAGTTTAACAAGCTTCGCTTCTGCTCCTGCGAAGGAAGTACAGGTTCACCAAGTATTTCTCCCCCCTCGCAAGGCTAGTCGACGAGCAGTGCCATTTGACCCTTGTAAAGGCCATGTGGCTGGAGCATTCGTTGTCGAAATCCTGACAACCATTGGGCATGCACGACGCTTATCATGCACACTATCGCAGACCGAGGCGCGACACATCAGTCTGTCTGCATGTTGGATAGTCTGGCGAGAGGTCCGATGATGAGAAGACGCGAAAGGGCTGTGTGACTCTGATAGTTAGATGGTCGGTAGTGTGAGTGTGTGAGTGTGTGTGTGCCGCATATGCCTGCCTTTCCTTATCGCCAGGACCAGATTTGTGCAGCGTACGTCTCGCGAAACTTTGACTGATATTCTCCATACGGAAAGGGACGGGGCACATTGGCCAGCTTCCCTCATAGGGCTCGACGGCTTGGGAGCTGGATCGGAGCCAAAGGGGGCCATTGTCTGACAATAATATGGGCGTTCTCCCTGTCGTCTTGCATGGTTGAGCAGCCACTCGTATGAGAAGTCGAGGTAGCCATCTCCTCACTAGCAACGCATACTTTTTTTGTGTGATTTTCCTCATCTGTTGCGTCTATACCACACACATAAAAACAGCGGTCACTCTGCGGTTTGTTGGGCCACCTTTTGCTGCTTCAGGTACGGGCATGTTTTCCGAGTCGGCCCCGGGCTTGGTTGTGGGCAAGGGCCCCCTGGCGGTGCGTCCTTTGCCTGATGAGGCTGGTGGATGGAGAAGTCCCTCCCTGCCGAAGTTTCCCTGAACTTTTATTATTACTGCTGGATGAATGGTTGTTGAACGGAGAAAGGACTGGCTCAATAGGTCCCCTTCTTTTCTGCCAGTGAGATCTTCTCTCGCACCAGAAGCTCACCCAATGTCCTCGAGATATGCATTGATTTCTCCATTTTGTCTCCATCTACCAGCCCGTTGAGGTATCATATTCCCCGGAAACAAAGCTGCGCTCCTTCTTATCCAACGGGAGATTTCCCCAACGGCGGTCCAGAACCTCTGGGGGTTTCCCTTCCGTTCTCAAGTCACCTGCTTTCTTTGGACATGAATATCCTGCTGGGAAGAGACGTGGAGTGGGCACGGAGACCCATGACTCGAGGCTAGCCTCGTCGCTGTTCCGACCTGGGCAGGAGACAGGAGAAGTCGAACTTTCTCTCAACGTCACGGTATCAGATTATATATGAACCCCCGAAGCGCGCGTTGTGCAGAAAGAAACCCTATCTTCTACCGATGCGATCGGCATTTCGCCCTGCAGCCTCGAAGTCGTTGCGAACTCTGTCGACGATCTCTTCCGGATCAAAGACCTGTCGCTATTCTCCATTCATCAGATCTACTACCCTATCAAGGGATCTTCACATAGACACCATGGCCCCCATTGCCGTCGAGGACATTGATCAGCCGCCTGTTGTGTCAAAGAAGGCCACTGGTGCCATCAATGGCGACGCGAGCGAACCAACTCTGGCACGTTTTGATGCGAATAGTCCGGCCACAACGACGGAGCTCCTCGTATCGATCATTGAACGCGATGGCGGTGTTGTTGTGGAGAACCTCATCTCAAAGGAACTGGCCGCTCAAATCAAGAATGAGCTGAAGCCTTACTTCGATACAGACAAAGTTGATCCTTCAGGTTTCTTCCCGCACACGACACAGAGAGCTACCGGCCTCCTGGCCCGTTCCGACGGCTGTGTTGAACTAGCAATGAACCCCACATATATCGATATAGCCAACAAGATGATCTCTTCCACATATACATACTGGAACGGACAGAAGCAAGAGACGGTGTTTGCCAAACCCATAATATCCTCGACTGTCGGCTTCCGAGTCAACCCGGGTGGAAGGCAACAGGCCCTGCACCGTGACGACGGGTAAGCCATGTCTGCTTCACGTCTTCCAGACGATTGCTGACTGACGCAGCGATTACCACACGCGCAATTGCGACATGCCCATGATGCTGGGTTGCGTGACGGCGTTGACCAAGACAACGGCAGAGAATGGTGCAACAATTGCCATCCCTGGTTCGCATCTTTGGGGTCCCGATCGCTGCCCTTATGACCACGAGGCGATTCCTGCCGAACTAGAACCAGGGGATGCTTTCATCTTCGTCGGTAATCTTTATCATGCCGGAGGGGCCAATATCACCAAGTAAGTCGCGGCCTCGCATGTGGAAAGCCAACTCCCGGCTGAAACTAGGCAACAGAGATCAAGCTCGTGAAACTGTGGGCATCTTCTTGTGCAAACCGTATTACCGCCCAGCCGAGAATCAGTTCCTTATGGTACCTCCTGAGAAGGCGAAGCGACTGCCGCCCCAAGCACAGAGATTATTAGGATACGGGATCAGCCGTCCTGCTCTCGGCTTTATGGAATATCAAGACCCAATGCGAGTTCTCTTTGGCGTCGAGGACGAGGAGACGGTCGATATGTGATTGAGAAACGCACGCAGCTTCCAGAGTTGCCGGAGACCCTGGCCCATCAGGCGATTGTCTTCTTGAAGATCTGGCATCGAGATCTCATATCACAAGGAAATGGAGACCTTGACTTGATTCTTGTCGAGCGAACTGCATCCAATCCACAGCCACACTGGGATCACTATCCCAAAAGCGCCGCAGAAATTCCAGCGCCGGGTAGCAATTTGAGAACCCGGTCGACTTCATCACCTCCAGGAGCTTGGCCTCGGCAAAAGCCTGGGTGTTCTGGTTAAACCTGCTTTGTGTTCCGACGACAAACAGAGGCCATACCAGATCGTGCTGATATGCCTCCTTGTTTTGGATGTTGGCGATTTTGGTGATGACTCCGCTGACACAGGTCTCTATTGCAGGAGCAAAGTCCTGGGGGTTGAGGAGAGCCTGGAAGCTATATGCAAGTCCAGCGTAGTGAAAAATATCAACCAGGACTGCAAAGTCGCTCCGCAATCCCGCGCTGCCAAAATCAAGTGTCTTGCTAAATTCCAGAGAACGATTTCGTGCGTAATCGAACCGCTCCTGCAAGACACGCATATTTGCCAGCTCGGGCGAGACTGCACCGGGCGAGGCAACGCGGTGGCGCCATCTTTCAGCCCAAGTCACTTCTTGGATCAGTTGCAGCCAATCCGTAAAGACCTGCGCGTCCTCTTCGGCTAAGACGGACCCGGGGATCTGGTCGTCGTCGCCAAAGGTGGTGGACGAGCCAAAGACGTCGTAGACAAAGGCTTCTTTAACCAGAAAACGACATGTATCGTCAAGAACGATGGATGCAAGGTGGGGCGCCGTCCAGCGCCGAGTAATGGTCCGGGCGGCTTTCCAATGGACGCGCCATGTGGCCGAGTTGCTCCGAATCATTTCAAGGTTGCAGAGAACCAAGATGGTTGCCAATATGCCGCTGGCTCGAGCGTGACGCGCCACGCTCGCATGTTCCGATACCTCTGTCCGCAGATCCTCGGCGAGAAGCAGCAGACTTTTGTCACGGTAGTTGCTGGAGACAAATCCATCGTTCATGGGCCAAGGTGACCCTGATCTGGAACTATAATGCTCGGCCGAGAGTGCCAGGATGGCGAGAAGGAGCGAGGGCGAGTGCATCGCCAGAGGAAGCATCAGTGTCCGCCATGGATTCTCAGGCCCGTCGACCCAGGGCATGACCGTGGCCACCACATGATCGTAATAGCTAATGAGCTGTCTCACCGGTCTGCCCTGTAGATACTGGGGCAGCGCATACGATGACGGATCGAGATTTAGCGCAAAGGGATTGTGGAGAGCAGACTCGTCGAAACTGGGTTGAAATGCGTTCCGCAGCGTGTATGGTACCGTGATTGGCTCGCTGTTTACTGCCAGCATTGAAGCTTCAAGACCATCATCGCGTGAATCTGAGGATTCTCCGGGCGTTACGCTTTTGGGACTGTCCCTGGGGTGGACAGCAGCAGCCGGCAGAGGAGCTGGTTCGAGGACAGGCAAGGTTTTGCCCGTGAGTTTGCCTCGACTGGCCACTCCCTGCCCAAACTGAATCCGCAAGCCATATCCAGGGCAGGTCAGTTCCTTGAGCGCGCACTTCTTACATGTTGGCAGCGATCTGTCGCACCGAATCCGTCTCCTGTTACAGGTTCGACAGTCTGTAGAGCCTCTTCTTAGTCCATGTGTTTTCTCTCCACCGCACAGGGGACCTCGGCATCTACTAGTGTAAGTACTGACCTTTGGCTGCTCGCGGCTCATCTGGGTCGAGAGTCGACAGACGCAGACTCATCTTGTGCTAAGGGCCACCAAAGAAGGTGCTGCCACGAGGACGGACAGAGGACCGAATCGTCGTCACGAGCAAACTAGCAACCAAGCAGACGCAGACACAGACACAGACGCCCACGAGAAAATACTCACCTTTTGGGATGGAAGGAGGCAATCAGGCAGTATCAACCCCGCGAAGGACATATGCGGGCTTCGAGGCCCCTTGGCGGGCACGGAAACCACCGCACTGCCATGCCATGCCATGCCGTGCGCGTGGGTTGCATCGACCAGTGTTTTTTTTTTTTCTTTGGGCTGGAGCAGCTGAGCTGCAGGTGCGCCGTTTGGGATTTCTTCTTTCGACCACGCACGACATACCCGGAGGGTCGAATCTGACACGCCTCTGTTCTCCTTAGCAGGCGGCAATAAAGGGGGGAAATACCAGGTTAGGACGCCTAATACGAGTACATGCTCGTACGTACTTTGTTGCTTCAACCCCCCTTGTTTCGTGGGTTGATAACGGATCTCTACTCCTGTTGCGGCAGCTGGATGGAGAACCAGCACAGTTGCCTGGAACAGCTAAATATCAAATCCCTCTAGACGCCGAATGGCGACATTAAACAGTATCCTCCACCATCAATCATCTCTACATCTATAACTCTCTCTAATACCATGTCGGTGGGTGTCAGGTAGGTTTGGTAGGCGAGCCGAGAAAAGGGACCAACCGGGGCAGCCAAAGTCGCCCGCAACATGCTGGCTCCCATCATGATCGATGATGGCACAAGGTCTGCTCCCGCAGCCGTCGTTCATCAACTCCATCTCAAAGGGCTGTCAGAGAAGACCATCTCCACCGATGTTGGCTGTTCGTTGCCCGATGGATTCTATCATTTGCCAGCCATCTATCACCTAGAACGACGAGCCATCTTCTCGAAGCGATGGATCCTGGTCTCGCACAAGGCTCGATACTGCAATGTCGGGGACTACGTGCAGTATGACATGGCAGGCTTCAACTTTGTCGTTGTCAAGAACAAGGAAGGGGACATTGTGGGATTCCATAATATCTGCAGGTAGGTAATGGTTCTCTTGACCGTGTCGGCGCCTCAGGAGACTGTCCCTTCCCCTTCGTGAACGATAAGAAGGACCCCTTGACACACAGCGATGACGGGCCAAACGCAGGCACCGCGCTTTCCCAATAGTGCACGAGACCAGTGGAACTGCGAGGATCTTTTCTTGTAAATACCATGGATGGACGTACGGGCTGAACGGCACATTAACCAAAGCTCCTCGTTTCACTCCCGAGTCGGTCCCGGCCTTCGACGCTTCGGACATTCGTCTCTTCCCCATCCACACGCACGTTGACAGGAACGGGTTTGTCTACGTCAACTTGGATGCGCGCCCGGAGCCAGAGATCTCGTGGGTAGAACAGTTTGGGGATCTTGATCGCCAGGCCGTTCTCCAGAACTCCGGCGTGGATTGGGACGCGATCGAATATGATTTCACGTGGGTCAAAGAAGGAAAGTTCAACTGGAAGATCATGCAAGACAATTACAATGAGGTAACTCACGGGCCTGTGGGAGCTGTCTCTCCATGGGCAAAGTGCTGATCCATCCATCAGTGCTACCATTGTCTCACAGCACATCCAGATGTTGCCAGAACGACCGCTCTTGATACATATTACGTCTCACCCGGTACGCCGCACCACTACATCTCGCATTTCAGCGAACCCAAGGCCTCCATCCTCGCCACATCGGCCTTTGATACGACCCGTTTTGCTGGCAGGTCAGCCACTCATGTCTGGCCGGGCGGTCACTTCAGCCCGAACCCAGGGACGGGATTCATGCACCTGATGCGTAGCCTGCCGACCTCGCCCACCACGACGCGGCAGGAATACGACGTATACAAGCTGAACACGCCGCACGCGACGCCCGAGGCACATCAGCGAATGATCAATTTCTACCAGAAAGTCGTGGACGAGGACTTTGGCCTCTGCGAACGTGTGCAAACGAACCTCGAACGCGGCATCTTCCAAGCCGGTCCGTTACACCCTTTCCACGAAGAAGGCGTGCAGGCGTTCCAAGCCATGGTGCTCAAGGTGCTGAGACAGCAGATTAAGCTGGAGGAGGCCGCTGGCAGGGAGATTTGGGCCGCTAGGCCGCCGGCACAGAGAGTTGGGAAGAAAGAGATTAATTCTGCTGATGTTGCGAACGGCGATGGTGAATTGGATGGGAAGAGCATCTGTGCGAAGATGCTGGATTGCGACCAGACGAGGCTGGAAGGCCTGGAATGGTAGCCCCCATTCAGTGGCCTTTGTACTCGTATATGTACTCAGCCCTTAGCTACCCGACATGCTTTAGTTCTTCGCTTCGCTGCCGTCGTCGGCAGATCCAAATCGGGAAACTCGATCCTGATCACCATCCAGCTTGCTAAGTTCCTTCTGCGCCAGCGCACTTCATCACACTCGAGGACAGTGCCATGCCCGGGCTAGGGGGAGAGCCTTAGGGATGGGAGACACGCTGGTACTCCATAGTTCCCGTGCACTCGTGTAGGGATAGGCAGATGAGGCCAGTGGAAAAGTTTCCGCAGAAAAAGGAAAGAAACTACTTGTCCCGCGTAACACGTGGAAGAAACCTAGATATACTTCTGCCCCTCCTTCATTCCGCCCGAGCTGCGCTGGCTGGTGCGTTACAGAGTTGTGGTTATTACCCCCAACTCCGTACCGCGCCCACTGACGCCCAACGGGCCGAGAACAATGGGCTCGACGCCCGCTAGTGGGTAGGTTTCTTTTCATGCTGTTAATTGCACACCTGATAAATTGAATGAGTCGAGGTTGGATGGATCATCAATGGTTCTACGTAGATGCTCGCTACAACACCTCCAAGATCCGCCAAACCTGTGCATCTCCTATCGCTACATCGCCCCTCTAGCCGAGAACGCTTCCACCACGACCCAACTCGGCCCTCTGCTCAAATAACCCTTCAACGAACCGATCCATCACATGCCCATCTCCATAGACAAACCTCTTTAGTATCCTCTGCGCTTCCTTCCACGTCCTGAGTCCCAGAATCCGGGACATCTCACAAAATCGAGTAGAGTGCCACTTCCTGTCGATCAATAGTTGTGGCCTCTTGCCCGCTTCGTCCGACACCTGTTCTGCGCAGGCGCCGACGAAGAAGAGGAACAAGAGGGGTTCATGATGAGAGATAGCAAGTGGAGGCGAAGAAGTCCTGGATGCTGCCCTTGTTGAAGGCAGGGTACCTCGCTTGGCCATGTAGGTCAGTAAGATTTCGACTTGGGGCCGCAGATGTTGGATTGGGATATAAAGCAACCATTTTTGCAGCGGGAGTGTGAAGCCATAAACAAAGGACATGGCGTAGGATACAGTGAGGCAGATGCATGCCTGCAACTGCCTACGGACCGCCCGGGAGATACGCGTTCGCGGAGTGATGGTCTCGACAATGTCGCAGTACAGGGTCATCGTCCAGGAACTCAATGCCGCGCGACGTCGGTGAAGCCAGCTAAAGATGGCATCGACCGACTTCTCGCCCTTTCTCTCACAAAGGAGCCTGCTGGCCAGAGCATGGGCAGCCATGAATTCTCGGTGCATGTTAACATAATTTTCCAGGCAGTCGGATATTTCGTCATCAGGCAGCAGGAATGATTCGTCCCAGCGTTGAAACTGAAATTCCATGTCGGATAGTAAGGAGCCGTACTGCTGAAAATCGGGTTGCTGTTGGAAGGATCCAGGATCGAAGCATGTGTAGTCGAGGTGCGGCCTGGTAAGTGTGAATCTTGAATGACCATTGTCTGTGAGAATTACCTGCGCTCGAGTGTCGGGGCTGAGCACATTGATTCCGCCGAGCCCCTCGACGACCTCCCACAACGCCGACGCGTGAGCCATGTTTGCTTCCATATCACCGGAGTAGAACGCCATACACGCAATGCACCAAATACACATAATCAGGCTCTCAGAAGGTCGCGTGTCCTGGCGGATGTGCTCTCGCAGTAACATGAGGCTCCTGTTTTGATGCTTCAGGGCCATTGGGTAGAGGAAGCTGTAGAATTGCGGTTGCGTAAAAAGTGCTTTCAGCGTCAAGACGCTTGCATACCAGCCGTGCAGACATTTCTTATCGGTCACGAGATCCTTTGCTCGATGTCGCCAACGAAGCTCCATGGACTGGCGAGTCCCATTGATAGGTGCATTGATGCTATTGAACGAGAGGAAGAAGCCACGGAAGACTTCCAAGGCCTCTTTTTGAAAGCGAGGACATGCTTGCCAGTCAGGGGCACTCCAATCATGTTGCTTTGGCAAGGTCGGGGATGACTCTCGTACCAGTCTGCCAGGCCAGAGTTCTGGCCTAACATATTGGTCGCCGCTCTCCCCGTTTGAGCATGCCTCATTGGCAGGTTCAGGTAAGCTGGGAGGACTAGCAGACTCGCGAGCGGAAGGATTCGCGCCTGATCCGAGCTGCCAACATATCGTTCGGATGGAGGCCTCATCGTTAAAGGAACGGATATAGCCGTCATTGTCCGCATCACTGAAACCCTTTGATGCATCTGGATCAACGATCCCGTTAGGACTGCATCTCGACAAAGTGTCGCGACTCCCGCCAAATGGTCGATTGCTCTTGGCCCAATGATAGTATTTGTTAGTGACGTGAGAACTGATCGAAAAGGCTTCATCTGCATCCCTTGTGTTTAAATTAGAGGCGTCTTTGTTGACAAAGTGGAAAGCCCCTCGATAGGCTGCAACAGGCATTTGGGAGGCAATGTTGGACGAGTACCTTGCAGCTGTATTCGTTGTGGTGATCTGAGTCTTGAATAGCGATGTGCCTTGTGCTTTCCCATCACCATTATATGTTCCCGGCCGGCGTCAACCCCTGTCCCTATCTGCCGACGACAAAGAGGTTGTCAGTCTCCAGAACATTACCAATCTTTACCCAAAAAACTATACCGAGTACTCTTCACCGCTTGGGAGTATGTTGATTGAAACGGTGGCCTTGATCCATAAGCTTGGCGTAGACATGATGGCCTGCAGTTCTGCTCTGAGTCCACCTCCTGAATCACTAGTTCAGCTGACATAAAAAAAGGGTCCAGGTCTGTATTCGCCCATATTTAGGACTTTGGATGGTAACCAGATCATAAGGATTCCTGAACCGTGATGGGACGCAACTGCCAAGAGACGGCACCTACCAGTTTGGCACAGGTGCTCCAAAACATGGCGTTGGTAGGGCGAGTAGCGCCTACCGGCTTTGGGATAGCCCTGGTGGAAACCGGCACGTTCAGCCGTGGTTTAGGCGGTGTTTCCACCCCGAAGGAAACTGGGCTGGTTCTCTGGGTTGCAATCCCGCTCCTCTTGGCTGCTGAATTGCGTTAAATCCTGGAGGCCGTGTCCAAAGGCCTTGTACAGAGTCCACGCATCGTTCTGACAAACGCAGAAGTACAATGAATGAAACCCTGACCCAGAGATCGTTGACCAATGACTTCTCTTGGCGGGACGGTTGGTTCAACGCAAAAAGATTTGTCCTTGTGAAATGGTGGAGAAGAAGCATTACCGTCTTTCATAGACAAACAATACAGAGTTGTCGCCGTCCTTTCATTTGCGAGCCCTAGGCGGCTGAGTAACATCTCGGCGCGGTTGTACCGAGATATCATGTCAGCACCTTGGCCTCAAGGAAGCACCTCGCCGACATGAGGAGCTCGGTGTTTAAGCCACTCTCTGGCTCGGTCAAGGTCTCCTTTCTCGTCTTCAAGTGCTTTGACGCACCATTCCAGCTCATAATTAGCCTCGGCCGCTAACATGACCGCGAGAGTCCTCCGTGACTGACTCGATTCGTCGACGCAAAAAACCATTGACGAGGTAATGCCATGAGAGATATCGTCGATGATCGGCTTCACTATGGCTAGACCGTCCTTAGCAGACACAATTCTGTCTTCGCCTCTCATATTCTTATATCCCGTCTTGCAATCTGCGTTACCACACCAAGACTTGCCGCAGCCTCCTATCAGCTGCTGCAACAGTCTTCGCTCGATCCTCCGCCTCAGCGTCTTCTGATCGGGGTCGTAGGTAGCAACGTATAACGGGCCAAAACACTCGTTGCATAGGCCAAGCTGCTCTTTCTGGACCCGGGACTCGTCCTCGGGTTTGATAGTCCGACCACATATCCGGTTCGAGCAAAGCTTCGGCTTTCGTCTGGAGAACCTTTCCCGATCGTGAAGGAGTAGATGCATCTTCATGTCTCGTAACCGAACGATCTTGTTACAGAGATGGCACTCTGTTGTACGTGCGCCGTCTGCGAGTTCGTGGGGGGACAGACCCGACATCAGCACCTCAGGGTCTGTGAACGAAGCATCTTCGGGGCCTTGCTGGGGTACAACCAGGTGGCAAAATTGGCAGAGAATCTCCTTCCCCGGACAAGTCGTTGTACGATGATGAGCCAAGGCGGGAAGATCTGAAGCCTGAAATTCGCAGTTTGGACATTGTAGCAAAGCCTGTGGGTGGAAAACCGAGTCATGTTTCTGACGCGAAACCAAATCGTTGCCATGCCCGTCATCATGAGCGCAATGCCAGTGATCCTCCCACGCTTCGGAGTTCTTGAGAAACACGCCTGAACATTTCGGGCAAAGGATGTTGTTTCTATAGCAGAATGCTTCGTGCAGCGGAAGGGTCCGTTTGGGAACCACCTGGTGACAGTTTTTGCATCGCACTTCGTCCGGAGAGAGTTCCGGAGGCCGAGCCTCCGTTGTTTCAATCTGCCCGGTGGCCACGTTGATTTTGAGGCTGAATGGGATTGGCCCATCTACATCTTGAGACCCATCGTTCTGCTTGCTCCAGGCATGAACGGCAATATTCAAGTATTCGGCGTCTTCAAGATCGACGTTGGTGCGGGAGAGTTTTAGTCGCTTGGTCGGTCGCGTGCTCAAGTCGCCGAAAACATATTCATCGTCTCGGGGCTTAGAGCGTTGACGAGCAGAAAAGGGACTGACAAGAAGATCGAGAGTCGCATTGTCATTCGCGGCCTGCAACGTCACCACCAGATCTTGGGTTCGATCCCAATCCTTCAGCTCATAATCCACGTACTGTCCTGGCCGGACCTTGCCTTGTAAATCGGCTCCTACACCCAACAAACCTCCGATGGAGCTGCCTTCTTGTGATTCCTGCACCGGTCTCTTCTTTGCCAGCTGTTTGTTCAACGACTCGCGGGCTTGCTCTTCGTTCAACGGCTCAATATCCACTTCAAGATCTGTGTCGACAATGCACACGCCCTCCTCGTCCGGTTCGAATTTATCCAC